CTGGGACTTTCAAAGATATTACTAGTATTTTAACCAATATGCTTTATTTTTAAAAGCAGTTTTAGGTTTATAAAAGAATGAATGGCAAGTATAGAGCTTTGCCTCCCCGGTCCTTCCCAGGGTTCCTCCACTGACAACATTAATGTGATACATTGTTGTTAGCTAATAAGCTCACTCTTTGTGCCCTGCATTCCACACAAGTTATTTTCTGTGCCTTGTTCAGAGTGTATGTTTGTTACTTGTGGAAGGCAGTCTGACATCCGCTGTTCCAGCCTTATCACAAGTTTATCTTTGCTTGTTATCCAGACTTTTTACCTTATCTCTGGAAACATCTGAGAGAAACATTGTAAACAAAAGGAGTCCCAGAGGGAAGTGATTCCAGATAGGCATCCGCGGCTTCAGGCCCATGTTCTATTGATGAATATCTCAAGTGGTTCTTTCTACAGTTTGTGTTATGTAGGCACTGTAGCTCAGTTTATCACTGTCTTCAGAGGTTAATCTCTGGAAAATAAGGTGGATGGAAGAAAAATGAAAACACTAGTGTCAAGATTCACCCAGTACTGAGGCTGAGGTTATACAGAAACTTATAAAATTGTTTGAAGTCTGTCAGTTAATCTCATATGCAGTTAATTCCTGTTTTTCTGGAAATGGAGCTACAAATAGACATAGGCTGTTAGGTTTTTAGATAATCTCCTATCTTGATTAACTAGTGTGCATCTTCCTTATACATTTTTTCATGTATGTTAGACATTAACGAAAATCTATGCCCTGGCACTTAAAAAATTCCTGTACTTTATTCCCTTGCTTCAGTCCTGTGTTAGATTCTCTGAATGGAGGCCCTCACACAGTCTCACAGCAGGGATTCTTGGAAGGCAGACACAGAGATGCTGCAGATGTCTTACAGAATGCCAGGTGATTAAGCATCCACCAACAGAAAGGTTTAATCATCTCTCGGCAAGCCAGGAACTGCATGTGCCACTAGAAGAGCTCCTAGCTTATGTCCAGTCCCAGTCCCTGCGTGAGTCAGGTGCGTTTGTGGAATCACAGCAGCGCTACCCAGGGCACAGCTGACTCTGGAGGAGGTGGCCTGATGCTCCAGTGGCCAAAGACCGGCAGAATCCAGATGTCAGGTCTTGCCTTCTGCTCCTCTCTCGGGGAGAGATTGCCCTGAGCATTCTGGGAACATGCCAGGCAGTCAGACATGTTTTGAGCCTTTTTGCTATCTGGACGTCTGGTCAGCTGGTGCTTCCTACAACATGTATTTGGGCATGTGGAGAGTGTTATGGGAGTCCTTGGTGTGGGTGTCTCACCTTCCCTGGGAGGCAGCAAAGGGGAGATGGGGATGAATAAGCATTAGGGGGGAGCAGGCCAAGCAGGAGTGTTCTGTGCCCAGAGAAGAGTATGTAGAAGCCCTTGGATGTGAGGAGAAACTTCTAAATAATCAAGAGATGTCACTGGCGTGAAACGAGGCTGGACCATGCAGGCTGTGTAGGCTGTGCTGAGGATTTTGATTGTCACCTTAGAGCAGATGGAAGCAAGCAAGAGAGGTTCTTACCCAAGGCAGTGAGATGATCTTACTTGCATCTTAAAGAGATCACCACTCTGGCAGCCTTGTGGAGAATGGTTTGGAGAGGCCACCGTAATAGTGAGGAAACCAAGGAGGAGGCCACTGGGCAGAGGAAGGGAGACAGGGAGATTTCAGGGATCAGGTAGTAATGGTATAAGTAGAGGGGTTTGGGTGTGTGGGGAGAATTGACAGGTCCCTGTCACTAATACACTGTTACTTGGGACAAGGAAGGAGAAGTGTGATGTGGAGGGAGGGAGGTAAAGAGCATGAGTTCTCACTTTGGGAATTATTCCTCTAATTCTCAGGTATTTGACCAGTGACCTTGATTGTCCTAGGAGCTAAGAGCTCAGTATCTACAGAAGAGGCAGTAAGGGCAAAGCCACTCGTGAATAGTAACCTGCCTCTGCCTTTGATTGAAGGCATGAACGTTTTGCTTCATCTCTATAGGAAGTGACAGCAGCCTCTATCCCTGAAGGATACTAGCTCAGAAGTGGGTGAGGTTTGAGTCTGAAAGTGAACTCCAGTCTTGAGCAGGAGACAGCCAGATTAGTCGTGGTTTATCTTGGGAAGGACAGTGAACCTGACCTCCACCCTTATGGGAGCAGGGCTGTTCACACATCATGTTCCAGAGAGAGGTGTGGGGGCGGGCTGATATGAGCTGTGGATGGGGTGACGGTTAGTACCGAGATACCTTTTTGTCATAGTGGTTGAGCATGTGTAGGAAGGTGTATTCATTGTCACAACACCTGGTTGGCCTTCTGGCCTTTGCTCTATATCTTTAGCCTTGTGGCGCTGTGTTTGATTTGTGACAGTAATGTGGATAGTTAGCTCCTACTGAGGAGATGTAGACTTGAATCCTACTCTGCACATCCTTTTAATCTCTTTGGAATCTAGTGGAGCCAGGTTGCAGATGGATTCTGAGAAGGGCAGATTCATGTTCATCTTCATGGGACTGGGGAGGAAAACAGGAAGAAAGAAGAGTATGGTGTGGGGATGGGTGTGTAGTGTAAGGGAGGCGTGTGACACCCAAGGCGTCTGCACACATGCATACAGCGAGTGTGTGTAGAGGTGTGTGGCCTGTGTGCACACCACCAGCTTGGGTGGGCTCCATGCACGAGGGAGGCACTTGGAGGGTGCAGGAGCTGGGGTCCTAATGTGAACTTGAGCACAGTGCTGCCCCTTGTTAGGGAACTGCGTCAGGAGCTGCAAAGCTGCTTCTGCTCTGCGTCTCTGTTGCCTCCGTCCTTCATGTCTCCACATTTCCCGGCTGCTTCAGTATGCTTAGTCTAACAGTGCCCCTCCTCAAGGGCGTTTGTATTCAGGGCAGTCCTGGGTGCAGGGAGCAGGCTGGAAAGCTTCTCCATAGTGGGTGACCTTGCTGGGTCCTAGAGTCCCAATCCTCGTGTGGTGGTGGCAGGAACATGAGCCTTCCCTGCCCTGAAGATGTCTGTTGTGCAGTGTGCAGGGAACTGTCCCCTGGGTTGCAGGGCCTTTCAACGTGGGTAATCATAAACTGGGGCCTCACAGCTTCCCTGGCTATGTGGGTCACTGACATATTGACAGACTGCACTGCCTGGCAGAGCTGGGGGTGGGGGTAGGGGTGGAGCCCAACTAAGGGAAGTCTTATCATACTACTGGATTACTAGATCGACTCTTTCACCTCATCCAGTTTCAAGGCCCTTTCTCAATAAGCAGGTTGCACCCATGTGCCATGGTGGGGCTGTTGCCTGGAGATCAAACAGCACTGTGCTAGCACTTGCCACGTGGCTCGTGGGCTGCTCGGAAGTGTGTTCATCAGCACAGACTGCTGTGGTACTAGCTGAACCCCAGTGGCAGTGTTTGGGGCTAATGCCCTCCTCACTGAGGTCAGGACTTTGCTCCAAATTTTGGTAAAATCTTTGCTTTCCCGTAACCATGGGAAATATTATTCCTGCCTAGATGACTGTCCTAATCTTATCTTCTCCTGCCAATGCAATCCTCGCTTGGATAGACTTTAAGTTATTCTGGGGCTGTGAATTTCAAGCTATTCCTTAGACTACCTTATGTAGTTCATGGGTAGACAGGAAAAGCAAACCCCAGTGGGTCAGTGTGCAACAGGAAGAGGAAGTAACCAATGTCACTACCCTCCATGAATGGTGGGTTGTGCTTTTTGTCTTTAATTTTCATGAGAAGTGATATCTAGAAACTATCTATAATTCTGATTCGGCAGTGTCACTTCGGGGAATCCAACATAAAGAGTAGTTTGGATGCGCTCAAAGATACAAGAATGAGGTGGCCCATAGAAGCATAGTGACGTAGTATGAAGTGGCACTAAGGAGCTGCCATTACAGGCAGTGTGGTAGGCCTGTGTGCAATGGCCCAGAAAGATGCCCAAGTTGCAAAGTCAAAAACCCCACTGGGTGTAGCCTGAAAGGCAGCCTGGGCTGCATTATGAGTTCAAGGCCAGGATGAACTATATAGTGAGACCCTGTCTTAAACAAAGAAAGCCCCAGATAACCCAAAGCAGAATCAAAACAACTGCAAGAAGCTAAGTCATAGAGCCACATGATGTGAACCTTTTTGCCTTTTAACACAGAACAAATTCCTGTGGTGTCCGTGCAGGACCGTCCATCAGGACGCAAATAGAGAGATGTTTGCTGAACTAGAGTGGGGGCGTCATCGTTTTCCTCTGCATATTTCTGCACTATTTGCATAGCGTACAACAGAAAAGTACTTACATATTAAACACTCACTTGCATGTAATTTGGTTTTGAAAATAATTTAAAAGTATAATCAGGTTGAATTTTTAATAAAAAAAATCTAGTCTATTCTTTTCCTCCAATCAGGAACTTATTCAAATATATGAGGACTCCAATATATTTAGGGCTCACGGTTCTCCTAATTAAAGAAGTATGTAATTTTTTCTTTTTAAATGTGCCTTGATGTTTGCCAAGTACTTCTGTATAATAGATTTTAATTCATTTGATCTTACAGATGAGGAAATTGAGACCAAGAAAGGCAAAGTGCCTTGCCATGAATAAAATCACGGGAGTCTTTCTGGTTCAGAAGTGTGTTTGGTTAAGCACAGTGTTCTGCTGCCTCTTTGATTAAAAGCGAGATAAAAAAAGGAGGCAGTAATCTCTCATTAAGTTGCTCTTTATCATTTTAGAAATAATCTGAAAGACCCTTTAGCCTTTAATTTCCTCATCTATAAAATGGGTAGATGAACCTTGGTGACCTCAAAGGTCTAAAGCACTTAAAAGCTGGGCATGTGGCACATCCCTGTACGAGGCTGAGGCAGAAGAATTGCTGCAAGTTCAAGGCAAGCTTGGGCTATGTAGACAGATAGTGTCTCAAACAAACAAATGAACAAACAAACACACACATTAGCTTTCTGTGATTGGGTACACTTGTTCTCTGTCTCTTCTCAACACATGTTCTTTCTTTCTCACAGTACGTAGGAAGCCTGGATGTGCCGAGGCCCAACAGCAGGGTGGAAATTGTGGCTGCCATGCGCAGGATACGGGTAAGTGGTCAGAGTGGGGCTGTGTGCCGCGGGAACTCAAGTGTCTGAACTGCGGGTCTTTTCACATGGTGCTGGAGTTGCCAAAGCAGACGGCTGCATTTCTGCAAGCCCTGGACCTGCCCTCCCTCTGTTGTCGTAGAGGCTGTTCTGCATTGGGTTGAGGCTCTTGATAAAGAGCCAAGGGTAAAGTAGACATGATGGATGAGGGGTGCCACCCGTCCTTTCGTAGTCTGCAGCGACACATGCGGAGGCACACATGTGCTGGAGGATGGCAGAATCCTTGTGATTTAAAGATGTTAGGGAAAAGCTTTAGTGATTAGCTGCTAATTGGCTCAGAGCATTTATTTGTTTGTTTGTTGTTTGGTATACAGTCTAGCTGCGCAACTCGGACTTGCTCTGAGTTGTCTCAGCCTCGCCAGTGCTGGGATTATAAGTGTGCACCACTATGCCTGGTTTCATGGCTGGCACAGTGTACCTGGAGTTCTGGGGCCAGCACAGCATGCAGTACTGGGGATCGAACCTGGATCCTTGTGCTTGCCAGGCAGGTGCTTAGACCTCTGAGCTATCTCCCCAGCCCTCAGAGCATATTTTTAAAAGGCAATTTATTATGGTATAGGGTTTTAAAGCTTACTTGAATTTCTAAAGACTAAATGTGAGATTTCAACAAATTTCCTTGATTGGGTGCTTTTTTTGGTATTTTAGGGAAGGGTCTACAGGGTGTTCAGATGGGACGCGTAGTGATTCTCCTGTTTACAGCCTCCCAAGTGCAGGGATTACAGGCATGCACTACCATGCTGTCTCAATCACAGTCTCAGTGTGCTCTGGGACTAGGGAAGGGCCAGCAGGGCAGGCAGGAATTGGGGGAGTTGGGGGGTGGATCGAACCCCTGGTCCTAATCCGCTGAGCTATTTGGCCAGCCCTGATTGGCTCATGTAGACCCCGGACATATGTGTGTGTTCTCACCTGTTTTTTTTTTTTTTTTTTTTCTTAAGAGAATACAAAATACTGATACTAAAAAACACATTAGAAATAATACAGAATTTCACTAAATAAATTCATATGAATTTAACAGTATTTGTTGTATTATGTAGTGGTCTTCAAAATTAGTTGTTTAGCTTACCAGATGTATGCATGCAAAATTAGAAAAAAAAGGTTATAAGAAATTACAAAGAGAAAAAAAATTGTAAGCATTAGCTGCTCCTTTTCCTATCCTGCTGTTTCTTGTACTCTGGAAGATTCGGCATGGATTCCAACCTGTGTCTCCTGATGCTGGTACTTGGAGCTGAGATCGGACCAGAGGCAAATTGTCTTCTAGTCACTGTGAAAGAATTTGCGCATGTTCTGTGTCCTAGACCAGGAAAATTATCTTAGGCCCGTGCACTTTAAAGGTCCACTTGGGATTTGTCAAATGGATTGTAATCAGTTTTTAGAGGATTGCTGTTACAGGGGGCTAGATCGGTCATTGCCAGATGCAGATGTAGGGCTCGTTGTCCTTAGAATACTCTTGCTTAAGTGGAAAACGTGGAGTGGATGCTGCGTATTTCATTTTGCTTTGTTAGTTTTACTTTCAGCCAGTTCGTCATCTGATCAGCAGAAAGCCCAGTTCAATGACAGCAGTGTTAGGAAGAAAATAAGCATGTTTACTGCTATTTTTTGGAATGCATCAATAACCTAATAAAATAATCTTTTAAGTAACTTGATCTTCCCAGGCTTTTGGCTTTGTTTTTTCATTATTAAGCTGAATTTATTGAAACTACTGTTCAGAGCAGCAGTGCTATTTATCATAGACTTAAGTAACAAGTAGTTTTAAAGCACTCTGACATGAGTAATTTCCTTTAATGTTCACAGCAAGCTATAGTTGGGGGTCTTGGTAGGCTTTTTCAAGGTTAAACTCAAGCTCAAAAAGGGATAGTAGGGGGTCACCCTGGTCCAAGAAAGGAGCAGGAATGTGGCCTGGGTGCACTTTTCCACTTGGTCTTGTGAAAACATGCAGGTGTTATCACCCTTCTGAGTGCAGGTTTGAAGCTCAGAGTATCTAGGCTGCTTCTCCTCTTCCTCTTCCTTCTAACTTGGACAGAAAGCAAGTACCGAGGCCTTCCGGGGACCGTCTGGGGTGTTGGCCTTGTTAGGAGGGCTACTGCCCTCCTTGCTGCTACTGTGAGAGCAAGGGCAGGGCTCAGAGTGGGTGTCACTCCGGTGTCAACCCAAGAAAGTCCCTCTTCTATGCATGTGTGCATGAAAGGCAGGAATATGTTTTTGCTACTGTCGCCGTCCTTGTGAAAATAACACTTCTATAACTGGTAGCTACCAATAGTTGGAGCTACTCACGCAGCAGGTGCTTTGTGAAGTGTTTTGATATTGAAATCATATTTTGTTACTATTTACAGCTCCTCTAGAGGAGGTGATGATGTTGTTGTTAGTTTTATAGAGAAGGTGTAGAACCTTGAGCAGGTTACACAGCTCTAGGTCAGGCTGCTGTGAACAGGCTGGTTTGGAGTTCACCTCCCAGGCCGAGCTGCTGCCGCCTCTGAAGGCTCTTTATGCTGCTGATAGCAGGGAGCTAGGACATGGCATCTCAGGGGCCAGTGGCAGGGATACAACTTTGCAGAGTGATCCGAAGCTCAGGAGGATGACATCACTGGGGACAGGGAAGCCTGGGGTGCGGGGGAGCTGGCTGGTCCCCGGATCTGGAGGCACTGGGGCTAGGTGTAGCTCTGTCTCATCTTCCTTCATCGCCTGCCAGGCTGTGTCCCCTGTGACTGTCCCTGCAACCCCCTTTGTGGGAGCTGCTTCTAGCACTTAATGAACAGCTCATTAAATTATAAAGAGAAATTAATTGGCTAGCAAGCTGTTTGGTCTGGCTGTCCAGTCGCTGTTAAGACTGGCCACTGTTAGGAGCAAGTGCTCTGATTGTGTGTGTTAGCCCCAAGCCCCACAATTTACTGCTGAGACCAAGCTGCTATCTTTCTTTCCCTTTAAAAAAAAATTCCCTTTCAAAAGCAGTTTGGGCTGTAATTACAGCTGTCAAGAACTGGGGCATGGGGTTTCTATGTAAAGGTCTATTCCTGATGCTGTCCTTTTATGCTGAACAGGGCTAGGCTGACAGTGGGCAGAACTCTGCGGGCTTTGGTTGCTGGGTGCTCTCACGGGTGCAGAAGCTGGAGGCCTACGGGTGGGGCCTGAGTCACCCCAACCCCCAGCGACAGTTGTGATGAGGACCAGAGCCTTACACATGACGTGCATGTGCCTTGCTGAGCCCTGAACCCGCTGAGCTCCGGGGCCCTTTCTGGGGTGCTGTGCTGTGGGGCAGTTAGGACCACCACTGTTTGCCAAGGGGGGAGCCCCCAGAGATCAGAGGCTCTGCCCAAGGGGCCACAGCCCACCTTGGAGCGGGGGTTCTGGCAGATGCAGGCATTCCTGTTCTTGTCCCGGCCCCGTGCCTGCCGTGGACACCCAGCCACATTCGTGGCCTTTCTGACAGGCCTGTTTCCTCTGACCTCTCCTTAGGCTTCATCTGCTCTCTCACCTTCCTGATATCATTTCTGAATTTTTCATATCTGTCTTGGGCTTCTGTTTCTTTTTTCAATATGCTTTTAGGCTTTTTTTTTTATGGCTGTTAAAAAGACATACTAAATTTAACTTTTTGAAAGTGTACAGTTAAGTACTGTTAAGTACGTTCTCATTCTTATAGCTGATCTCTAGGACTTCTTTTGTTACAGAACTGAAACTCTAGTCCTGTTAAGTACATGCCTTTCTCCCTGGCCCTTGAGGAAAAAACCTTTCTATGATTTTGACTATGCTAGATGTCTCATATGAGAGAACTACACCGCATTTGTCCCAGTGTGATTAGCTTAATTCACTCATTGTGGTGGCCTCAGTGTTCATCTGGGGTGTGTAACAGCACTTCCTGCCTTTTGAGTGCAGCATAATATTCCACTGTATAGACACATTGCAGTTGTTCCAGGTATTCCTCCATCTGTGGGCATTTAAGTTGCTTCTACTTCTTGGCTATTGTGAATTGGGCTGTCGTGAACATGGATGTACATGTATGTCTTTGAGCCCCAGCTTTAAATTTTTATTTGGATATATGTCCAGGAATAGGATTGCTGGATCAATTTTTTTTTTAAGCTGGGTCCTTGCTATGTTGCTCAGGCTCATCTCAAATTCTGATCCTCCTGCCTCAGCCTCTGTGGTTGCTGGGCGTGCAAGTGTGGGCTCCTGTATCTGGCAGTAGTTTTGTGTTTTGAGGAACCTCCAGGCACTCTTCCATAGTGATACTGTTTTGCCTTGTTCCAAAAAGTGGAGGAGGATTTCAAGATGTTTTTCTCAATACCTACATGGATAGATTTCCCAGGGCATCCTTCAGAGCTCCTCTGGAATCCAGCCCTTAGATTGTATGTTCTTCTAAGGCTGCCCAAGTACAACTGAGTCTGGCCCTGCCCCACCCAGGTCTGTGTATGCTAGTTTATTCATCCATTCCTTACATATCTTTTTGCTTGTTTGCTTTACAGTGTTGGGTGTCAAACATCGAGCTACCTCTCTAGACTTTGAGTCATTAAGTTGCCTGGACTAGGCTGAACTTGAGATCCTCCTGCCTGGGCCACCCAGACTTCTGGGATTATAGGTGTACACCACAGTGCCTGACCGCATCCCTCAGATACCTCTGGGCTCTCCTGGAATGCCATGCTAGTGTCCCATGGCTGGTGCCCACACATGGCCGGGCCAGGCCTTGAAGAGCTCTGTGTGCTATCAGGCCAAGAGTATGATGCTAAGAAAGCCTATAGCTGGGAGAGCAAATCCAACTTAGCAGACACGAGAAGGCCTGGGGTGGGAACTGAGAGCTTGCGTCCATGATTGGCAGGAGCTGCAGCCAGGGGGAACTCACTGCTCCTGGGAGAAGGGACAATGTGACATCAGAGCTATCTTTGAGCATCTGGTGCCTAATACGGGTGCCTGCCCAGCATGTGCCTTTTGTTCCTGGTCTTTGCCCTCTGGGGCTT